GCACCTTGCTGGCCATTTCTCGCGTTCGCTCGGGATAATGAGACCACTCCTTTGGCAAAGTGCAAGCCAAGGGCTTCTTTGAGCCTCGTCAGTTCCGGGAGATTAGTGCACAGGCAACAGCCTAGCTTAGACTCCCTGCCCACATGGTGAGCTCTATAGATGGGTCACTGAATGCTTGTTAGCTGGGGTGATTCTAGCATGATTTGAGGGCGGTGGCAGCAGCAGCCCGTTCTTTTGTTGGTTTGATGGTTATGGTGGGTGGCAGGAAGGATGACAACCCTCACTGGAGCCTTTCTCCACCACCTCCTGACACCAGAACACAAGCCGCCAACTCAGAAATGACAAGAAACCACACACCACCTATGCTTTGTTCCCTGGAAGCCTGGTGGCATATTCTAGAATTCCACAGGGTCCCTGAAGACCTCTGAATCACTCATATATGGTCTCAGCTCAGAGTGACGCAAGAGCCCGCCTTCCTCACAGGCAGCAAGGGCAGTGCACAGTGCAAAATCGAAGGAAGAGTCTGGTTCATTTGTGGGGGCTCAGCTATTTACACAGGGAACAAACAAACAATCAAAAAAGCTGCATGACAGAGAGAGTTGGATAACTGCTCCAAACTGAGCACTCTAAACGGATGTGACTCATGGCATGTTTTTGATTTACTGTCTACTTAAAAGCAGATGTGGTGTGAGATGGGTGGATCTAAGCATGCTGGGCACTCCGGGGTCATTTGGGGAAGGCAGCTGCCTTCTAGAACCAACAGGAATAGTGCCCCGATGCCTAGAGCCAAGTTTCTGACCCCAGATCTCTTGCCCATTCTCCTTAAGTCTGGTAGACCTGATAGAGCAGTTTGAGCGTGAAGAGGGGGCATGGGTAGAGATGGGGCTTGGCAAGCAGGGCGTGTTTCCTGCCATAATGACAGAACTCTCATGGCCCTGTGCTCTGTACTCCGTTTCAGCTCTGCCCTCTCTGGGATGAGCAGGGGAAGCAGTGGAGTGTCAGGTAGAGCCTTCTGTAATGACCAGAGCATCTCAGCCCTGGCTTTCCACGGCATTTCTGTCTAACAGGTAAAGAGGCTTTCTTGTATCACCTGATCCTGGACCACCTCTGAGTAAGCAAGAGATGGTTTCCAGAAGGAAAAGCAGGGAAGGAAGAGACATAACACCTACCATCTTCCCCTGCCCTCCTAATGCCTTCTCTACGACCCTTCCGCCATTTATGTATCTGCTAATTACTGTGTGTGTGTGTATTGACTCTGTTCACCCACAGCAGACCATAAAACCCACCCACAAGGACAGGACTATGTCCCCCTCGCTTCCAGCCCTGTAGCCAGAGTGATAGAAGATTGACAGACTAATGAGTGACACCCAACCATAAGTGGAGACACACATCTCTGTATGTGAGTGACCGTTTAGGAACTCATGGACTGAGATATGAACAATGCCGATCTTCAGGGGTCCCAGTGTCTTTGTGACTGGAGCCTATGGGCATGACGGGTCTCACGTGCACCGACCCTGCTCTTACTAGGGAGGGCAGTGGCCACTGATGGCACAGAGAACAAATGGGTGCCGTGGAATGGAAGACAGGGAGCCTCCAGCTTGATGTGGGATGCTGTGATGTAGCCTTAACCCTGTCTCCCCATCTTGTGTTTCAACGGTTTCGGAAGACACTGGACCACCAGCGAGGAGGGAAACGGTGATCCCCACACCTGTCTCGTTCTCTGCCTCTCCGTGTCTCTCTCCTCTCTTTCTGTGTGTGCTTCTGTCTCTCTGTCTCGTCAGTTTCTGTCTTTCTCCCTCTCCCGCTCCTCCTCTCTCCCCTCACTCGCTATTTCTTCTATTCTGGAGAGCCAAACTAGACACGGTACCAGATGTTCTCACTTTGTAACTAAGCTGAAGAGCTGGGCATGTTCACACAGGTGGCCCGAAGATGGATGCTGAAGAGGGTTGCCTACAGGGAGAGTGCTGCCAGAAGGCCAGAATTGCTGGGAGATATTTGAGATGCTTGAAAACTTAAGAAAGGCAAGGTTGATATTAACAGTAAGGGCAACTTCCTAAGACCAAGGCAGAGAGTGGGCAAGTTCTCGAAGGAATGACTGAGGAGTTGGAGGTGACAGAAGACAGCCCAGACTAAAAATGGAAAGGGAGAACCATAGACCCACAGGAGGAACCCAGGGCCTCTACTCCTGCAAAAAGGCTGCCCCACCTGCCTTGGGGTGGAGTGGTATCACATGCCTAGGTCTGTCTCAGACCTACCTCAGGAAGGAGAGCCCAAGAGAAGATTGGGAGGCTTCCTTGGCTGTGCTGAGAAACCTCACACGCCATGTTCACCATTTAGAACATAAAGTAATTGCTTGTCTATTTGAGCTGCAGAAAATAAGTATCAAAGGTGTGGAGACCAGAAGCGACTAAGCCCAGAGATGGATTCAATTGACCCTGCAGTATCATAGCTTTCAAGAGCCGATGCTAATTACTTCAAAAGCTGTAGTGGGGAACAAGTGGGCAATCACAATCGGCAAAGGGTCTGCTGACTTGGAAGCCTGTGGCCATGTGAAGCCAAAGGGGTACTACTCGAGTGGACATAATTTTAGGGACGTGACCGCCACGTCCCTTGGTAAGGGACAGCAGCTAAAGTAAACAGACAGACCCGTCCTTGGAGGGAAGTGTCTGCTGGTCTAGTAGACTCAATTCAAGGGGTGAAGGGCAGAAGGGCAATCCCTCCCACCTGACCACCAGGCCACTGCCACATGATGCTGCCATCCCTCACCTGGGGCCAAGGAAGCCCCAGAGCTCACCTCTGAAGAGAGAAAGAGAGAGCTTGAGGACGATGGGAGGTGCAAAGAAAAATGCACGCACATGTGGTAGGCATGGGAAGAATCCTGGGAACACAGCAATGTTACAGTGGCAAATGTTTGTATTGTCTTGCCAACATTGTCTTGTTTTGGGATGGGGGTGCCAAAACAGAACCAAAATCCCCAAGAATCATCTTCCAAATTTTTTTTAGCATCGTCCTGGATATAGATCTCAACATGTCTGAATTGTAAATGCACTGTCTCCCTTGACCACCAGGCTCTGTTTTTCCCATACCCGGCGGGATACGAAAGCTAAATTTGCCAAGCACATGTCATGTCAGGTTGTCCCCAGAGGGCAGAGTCCCTGGAAGAAGCAAACCTCTGGCCACTTAGACATAAGCGAGGGCAGGAGAGGCTGTCTGTCTGTCTGGCCTCTCTGCCTTGTCTGCAGACTTTCTCTCCATTTCTTTACTCATTCTGCTGGCGACATGGAGTCCTATCAGAGTCCTGCAGAGGGAACACATCCCCCGAAGAAGAAGATCCCTGACTCCTGACCCAGCCTCTGCTAGGTGTGTGGCAGGAGTTGTCAGACGTGGGGCCGGCCCTGTGATAGCTCAACAGTTAGGGGCAAGGGCTGCTCCTCCAGTGTGGTTCCCAGCGCCCTCAGGGAAGCTCACAACCATCTGGACTCCAGTCCCAGGGGTTCTGGCAGCCTCTCTGGCCCCATAGCTTCTGCATGCACATGGTACACATACATACAGAGGAGACACCCATTTGTGCAGTGTGGAGCAGGTCCACAGGCTCCTCCCAGCACCCGCTACTGTCAGAGAGCCCAGGGGCAGGGAAATTAGCAGAGAGGTGCTGTGGGGATGGTAGTTATTCCAAACCAGGGAGTATGCTGGGGATTTGCTACCCGGCAGAAATCCCAAAGTAGCATCTTCATAGCAAAACACACAGCTGGGTCCTCATTTCCCTTACCTTCCTTCTCACACCTGGACCCAAGGAAAACCAGAGCGCCATGGGAAGGAGACATCCTGTACCAGAGCATGGCTAACAGGGGCCACCTGGGCCGGGGACACACAGAACCATGGAGTTTTGATCCCTACTGGGCTGCTGAGTACTTCCCTGACATAAAAACACACCGGGTATGGATATATTCCTTTAATTATGGAACTGAAAAATTTCTTTAATTCAGTCTATGCTTGTATAACACAAATGCTCAAGAATCCACCACCCACCCAACCTGGTGCTCAGGCTCACTTGTTGGCAGTCGGCTACGTGAACGCGTGTGGCTGTTAGCATCTCCAGACAGTTAAATGAAGAAATATAGCACTGATCATGTGTGTGAATACATATAGAGAAAAACCACAGCATTCTTAATTCTGGCCCAAGGTGATAAGCCACACACTGAATGCCACTGGGCAAATATCTGACAGATGAAGGACGTCATGTAATGGCCTCCTCATCTGGGTTGAGGCTGCCTCCCTGGATGAATGGCGATGAAATACCAGGTCACCCGCGGAACTGCTTCTCCAATATATTCGTATAAATGCTTGTGTGTTTGTGTGTGCAGGTGCATGTGCGTGTGGGAGTGTGTCTGTGCAGCGTGTGATGTGAGTTGCCCAAGTACAAAACACGAGTTTATTCTGTTCATACTAAGCATGTTAAATAAATCAAGTTTTGTAACTATAACACAATTCATTTTTTTTAAAAAGGAACATTGAATATCTTCAAAAATTGCTACAGTACAAAAAAAGTGTGTGTGTCTGTGTGTTGGTATTTATATATTTATATATGTATATTAACCAGAAATAGTGACTCTACCGGAAGTGATCCCCACCCCTGTCCTCTGTAAGATTTCTCCGCGTGGTTCGCTGGGCTCGGCTCCGGCCGAGCTTCCGGGTCATTACATGGCACATAGTGGTATTATTGGCACAGGTTCAGAATCGTGGTGCGAGTCCCAGTGGTCGGGAGCTGTCTCCTGTCACTCTGCTTGGCTTTCTCTGCCGTGTCTAGTTGCTTCTTGCATTTCTTCTCTCTGCTCTCCGAAGGAAGAAAACTCTGGGAGAAGGGAGCGCCCCTAGGCACGAGCAGTTTTACAAAAATAGATTTGGCCTTGGGTGTCCTGCTCTGCTGAGTTTCCCACCGGCAAACAGAAGTGGCAGGTGCGGGACCCTCCCCTTAGATAGTTTAGTTTTAGGTTTTATAATTTTTCGTTTTGTTTGTACAAGTTCACCAATGGAACCCTGCGGAGGAAGGAGAGAAGAAATTAAACAAGGGCTGGATGCCCTGGGGCACAAGGAGGGTTATACTGCCCACACAAAGCCCTAACACACCCACTGTGGTGACTGAGGATTGCTGGGGACGTGAGCAAGGGCTCCAGCCCTGTGTTCGGAGCCTCCCAGGAAGGGCTGGTCCTGAGACAGCACAAAAAGATACAGGAAAGCTGGGGGGGGGGCATGAGCAAGAAAGAGCTTCCCAGACGTCTGAGTGAATCCAGCAAGCCACCAAGTATTAAGGCCTTTCCCATCTTCCCTGTAGCCAATCTGTCACCTCACTATCAAAGAAGGAAACAGAGGCAGAGGATGGGTGGGGTCTCAGAAAAAACATCGAGTAACAGAATCCCAGAAAGCTCCAGAATGCCAATCCAGTCACCTCTAGTTGAAACATGTCTCGGTCTTTGAGAAGCCCACACCCATGCTCCTGTGGGAGTATTAATTTCTTCTGAGCGCTGAGTAAAAGAAACTGTCAACCTTCAGTCTTAAGCCCATATTAAAATATCTCTAGCAGAACTCCCAACTCTGCTTAGGACACCAGCCAGTCCTGAAATCCCTTTTGATGTTAAAACATGAATTCTGCTTTGGTCTGGGTTGAGCTCAGGAGTGGCCAAGCTGCCGAGGGTGGTGAGGCAGAGCTGTGCCCTCACCTCCGACAGGTTCACCTCCTCCATTAACTCACATAGAACACAGCATTCCAAACACGCATGCCACTGGCTAGTATGCGTACTCATAGAGGGAAGAGATTTGCTTACTACACCTGCAATGCAGGAAGGAACCTGTGGACACCCTTTGCATCCATCACCAGCTAGCTGGAACTCACTGGGAACAAGACTCAGGATAGATCTCTGGGTCTATCAGCAAAACCCAACCTGAATCTTTCCAAGGGAGAAAGAACGGGAATCCTGGAGAGGCCAGTGGCCATAACATTCTCTAGCAGCCTGGCCAAGAAAGGACACTCAGACCTGGTAAATGGAAGGGCGGTCTTCCATCAAGAGAGAGTCCAGTGGTGGGCAAGCCCCTGGGCACGAGGATGCATCACATCCCAGCCATGGGTGATCCTGCTTGGTGATGTATGAGTTATGGGAATGGGGTGATGTATGTGGGCCTCCATTGCTACTCAGTGCCCCCACTGGAGACACCCATCCCACAATTACAGGCCACCTAGACCCTCAGGCAGAGGGGAAAGTCGCTCCACACCTGTTGATGGCACAAGTCATAAAGCAAGGACCACAGCACAGAGTCAGGATAAGAATGCTGGCATTGCCCCACAGTTACCAGCCCAGCAAACAGCCAGGCCAGAAGATCCATCACCGTGTACTCAGAACTTTCTGGAAACAGCCCTGCACCTCCTCTGGAGACCTGGAGGCAAGTTGTCTGGCCAGGCCCTGTGAGCTTGATTTAAGAGACCTCCACATGAGCTCATCGACCCCAGCACAGGACCGAAGCAGGCCCCCGAATATGGGTGTCAGTTTGGCAGCCTGGACAGTCTATGGGGCCTCTGGCTGGATTCAGTATTTATCCCTAGTGCATGAATGGGCTTTGGGAGCCCATTCCCCATGGAGGGATACCCTCTCAGCCTGGATTCACAGGTGAGGGCCTAGGTCCTGCCCTAAATGATGTGACAGACTTTGATGATTTCCCCAGGGGAATCTGTCTAAGGAGTGGATGCAGAGGGTGGGGGGGGGATTGGAATAGGGGGATTGGTGGAGGCGTGGGAGGATGGGAAGGAGAGGGGACTGATTTAAAAATTAATTTAAAAACTAAGAAAAAGAAAGGGAGACTCCCACAGTTGCAGCCAGGGTGGGGATGGGACCCAGCTCTCCCAGGGTACTCCTCCGTCCTACCTCAATAGTGGAGGACTCTGAACACTGAAGTTTCCAGGAGGCACATGCAGCTTCCTCTTGGGGCTGTGGCCAGGGCTGGAAGGCCTGTCCCTGCTCAGTGCAGGACCCAGAGCCTCGACTTGTCTCCCCAGTGAGGTGGAAAAGGAGAATTAAAGGTGCTGCTCCTTTAATGAAGGAGAACTCCCCGAGTACCCCTACAACTTGCCTGCCTGGTGCAAAAGACTCCCATTTGGCTAATCTATGAGGTCTACGTAGAAGAATCCACGATGCCTCTGTGGGGCTGTCCACCTACTGTGGACCTCAGAGCAATATTGCAGATAAATTCTGGGGTAGATTCTGCCCCCTGCTGCCTGGAAGGGGACTGGGCAGCAGGTGTACTGGGCTCAAGGCTTGATACCCAGCCTCTGCTTTTGAAAGCAAAGACAACAGGGAAGCCTGGTCCCTGGTGCAGCAGCTCCTAACCAGAGTCACCACAGGCTGAAAGGCCACGCGTGCCCCCATGATTTCTTTGTGCCGGGTATCAGGAAGCACAGCTTCTAGACGGTTCTCTGTGCAAGCTTTGTATTCTGTGAATATAGTGTGTATGTGTGTGTGTGTGTGTCTGTGTGTCTGTGTCTGTGTTGGTGTGTGTATGTCTGTGTGTGTGTGTGTGTTCATGTGTGTGTTCATGTATGTGTGTGTGTCTGTGTTGGTGTATGTCTCTGTGTGTGTGTGTGTTCGTGTGTGTATATGTGTGTGTGTGTGTTTGTCTATGTCTGTCTGTGTGTGTGTGTGTGTGTGTGTGTGTTCTAGCCTGTGTACATACATGGAGATGCCAGGGATTGGCATCAGGCACTTTTCTTAATGGTCATCCACCATGAGACAAGGTCTCCTAATGAACCCAATGCTCACAGACTGGCTGGGTAGGCTGTCTGGCTGTGTCTGTTAGGGCTCTGAAAGCAGTTCGCCCACTGAGCTGTCTCCCCAGCCCCTGAGGTGTGTTTTGGGGAAGGGTTCAGGCACTTTTCCATTTGTTATCAGTTATGTGCTTCAATTTGTTTCCGAGATTTTTAATAGTGATTTGTCTCTTGTTTGTTCCAGATTCAATAGTCTTTATGGTTCTCGAGGCACTGTTCAATGGAAGCAGCTTTGGTAAGTAGGAAGAACCTAACTAAGTCTAACAGGGTTTCCTGAAGTTCAGACATACTGTGTGTGTGTGGGGGGGTGACAGGAAATGAGCCATGAGCCTGTGGCAGGTGAGCCTCTGAGGTCCTCTCCTTGGAGAAGAGGATGCCAGCTACATCTGGCATCACCCAGAGCTATCTGTGCCCACCATGAGGTGGTACAGTGCTTATCTGCCATGATCCCTGGGTTTGACCAGGAGCCGGTCTGCAGGGCAGAGCCTTGGCCACAGTTAGGTGCTGCTTGTGTAAACCTGTCTTGTAAAGGGACAGATATATGTTGGAGTAAGAAACTGTCTCACTGGGGCCAGAAAGATGACCCAGAGGGTAAAAGAGCTTGCCTCAAAAACCTAAGGACCTGAGTTCAGTCCCCAGAACACACCATGGAAAGAGAGAACTACTGGAAAGTTCAACGGAGCACTACAAACACACCCATGCATGTACACACACACAGTGACACACACAGATAAAACAGATTCTTTTTAAAGAAATTGCTACATCACTATAGTGAGATCTCCACACCACCCATACTTGTAGCACTGGCCATGCCCATTTGGGCGTGGCCACAGTGGAAGACATGATGGAGGGTTAGGTCAGGTCTGGCGTCCTAGACCTCAGCTCTCGCTTTTGGTTGAGGTCTGGTCACTGAGAGCAGCCTAGGAGGATCCTTGGAGCAAATTTGCAAGTTATTGGCTTCTCGTGTAAGTGACTTCTCCCCCAAATAAATATATAATAATTCATATTATTAAACCTAGTCCCATGCATCTTAATCTGCCCATCTATACATCACCAGTAAAAATAAAGCTACCTAAAAGTCTTAAAGTCTCTACAAGAGACAAATGTCTCTACTGACTATTAAACCTTAATTAAATGTTTTTCTGTTAATTGCTATTTATTTAAGGGACAACAAGTACCCATGTAAATCTGAGAGATCTCGCTGGCGGGTCTCTGCTTGTTGCTCGTGCCCAGGCGTTAATTATAAGAACCAGGGGATGCTTAGAATCTGAAAGCTTTCATCCCAGTGAGTGATGAATAGCTTGCCCGGCACAGGGCGATGGGATTTTTAAGCATTTATCAGAGACTAATGAGGCTCTCTGCACAGCTCTCCCAGCTCTGGTCTACAGAAAGTCACTGGAGGAGAGCATGGAGGGCAGAGGTTGTCCATTTCGCAAGGAGATGCAGCATCTAGTTCTACTCAACCCAGAGGGTCCTCGTGATGCATCTGGAGGGGCAGTAGTGGTCTGGAAGCAAGCGTTCTCACATAGATGGATGCGACTCTCAAATAGCTCCTGGGGCACCTGCATCTTACACCCCACCCAAGGTCACTGTAGTGGGATACCTAATCAAAACCGTGGCAACTTCTTCACTCTGTGGAGGAGAGAATGCCATGGGAAAGAAGAGAGGGTTTTCCGGAACCAAGGAATAAACAAAACCACATGTCCTGCCACCCAAGTCCTTTAAAATGTCAGAGCTGCAACTCCCTGCAAGAAAGCTGTGGCGCTTAGGCCCCTGAGCACTTGGGGCAGGTCCTTCTACCGTTCCATCCTACCCTCAGCCTGCCTACAGCTTGGGGCTGAACTGGGGTGAGCAGAGGCACTTGGCACAGAGAAGGGCGTGGTCTCAGACCCCTTTGTAAAGCAGAGTCATCTGCAGAAACAGGCATTGTGGCATCCTGGAACCAGACAACCTTGGGTGACTGGTCTCAGCGCTGAAAACCTAGAGCATCATGGTCAAGTCGTCTGCCTTTCCTCAGCCTCAGTTTCCCCCTTTGTACATGGGCTTGTTGGGGGAGTGAATGCACTTCCGCATGTAAAAAGTGGCCTCTCTAATGGCCATCTATATGATAGAGTTACCCCGGGAGCAGAAGACGCGAGGCTTCTCTTCAGGAAAGTGGAGGCTGAGTGGGCAGGCTCCACAGCTCCTCGTCAATGAGTTACAGTTTAACAAGTTTCTTTTTTCAAATTGATACAGGTTCTGACTCTGTATCCAAGCTGTCTTCAAACTCACAGTGACTCCCCTGCCTCAGACTCCTGACTGCTTGGTTATAGGCATTAGCTACCACGTCCACCTTTAACGTCCTTTTAAAGCTATAGTAGAGATGTGGTACCTATCCTACCCCGGGGCCTGCCAAGCTTTGAGTTGCCTTGGCAGACCCCAGCACCATGCTCTGAGGATGCACCAGGCTTATGTCCTGCCTGCTGGAAGGCTGTTCTAGTTGCCTTTCACAAGGGCTTGTGAAAGCCTCTGCAGGAGGCTCCTTTCTAGTCTAATCTAATTACATTTTCTTGCCCACAGGCGGAACATGCTGGCTTTGGGACAGAGACTGAGGGCTGGAGATTTGATTTGGACCCAACTTGCGATTCATTAGTGCTGGGATTAAGAACTGACCAATTCGTTCCCATGCTGGTAGAAGCTTGCTCCTTGCTTCCTGCTGGACAAGTGCTGGGACTGGAACCCTTGAGCTCTGTCTGCCCAACCCTCAGTCCTCTGCCCTTTTCACTCAATCCCCACACAAAAGGTGAGCAATGAGTGAGGGGCAAGTATTTGTGGATACCGGGTCTTATCTAAGAAACAGGGTTGCCGCCTCGTGGAAAGCGATTGGCTGCTGTGACACAGTGGGTGAAGGCAAGTTTCCCCACCAAGCTGGAATCCCAAAGAGAAGGATGTCAAGCCCACAACACCCATGGGCTGTGCAGGCAGCATGTGTAAGTGGGGACACATGGTCATGCAGCGCCCGGGAGGGAGAAGCCCTCACTCCTCCCCCCAGTGACTCCGCACAGAAGCCATTCAATGTTAGCATCCGCGTTAATACCATCCAAAGCAGGCCGAATGTTCCCAGGCAGCAGAGCGTGAAGAATTCATCCTGTTTGGGTACCAGTCTCCAGCTTCAAATTAGTAGATGTCTCAACTCTTCACTTTCTTTTTTCATCATGTTATTTCTTATCTCTTATTTTCATATTTCAAGACTGCACTTTAGTTCCCCCCACCCCCCACCCCTACCCCCAGCATGATTATGTGCTGAGGGTGAGATCCCTGTCTGCTTAACCAGCCGCCCTGGTGGCTTCCTGCCGAGAGAGAAGGGGATGATGAACCCAGAGCTTGTTTCTGAAGGCAGATTCTTCAGCTCGCAGTTCTGCACCGGGAGGGGAGGGCATGGCACTGAGGCTAAGCTGCTGCATCCTGGGAGCTACTCCCTCCCAGAGAAGTCCTGGCTGTGTGTCTAATAGCTGTGTCTCAGAGAGCCATGGTCCAGTGTCCACACAGGGGATGTATTGGGAAACACACTGCCTTAGAGAGGGGCTCCTGATCATAAGTTAGGGGAGGAGAAGGGGCCACAGGAGACGGAGATAGATACATACCATGAAACAGACACATGGCGTCTGCCCCGTCCTCAGGAGGTAAAAAGCCTTCGGCCAGTCAGCAGGAGATTTCAAACCATTTCTCAGACACAAAGGCCACAGGGATGAGATGCCGATCTGCAGACGAGGATCTGAGGAGAGCAGAGAAGGTTTGTGTGAGCCATGTGTGAGCCCTGTGAGCCGGCACATGGCAAGCAGGCTAGTCAGCCTGCAGGGGGAGTCTGTTCTCTGGAGATGGGTCTTTACCAACCTCTAGATAGAAGAGACCCCCATTGCCTTGCAGGTCCATTAGCAGAGAGGGTGATGGATGCAGGGCTGAGGGCCTCGGGTGTGGAGGAGGGAAGGCTGGCCATCCTTCCTTCTTGTGTTATCTCCAGATACTGGCCTTGGGATGAGCCCAGAGCCAGGGTCATTACTTCTACAGGCACAGTATTGTGCATGATAGAAAGGGACAAGACCTAGCTCCTAAAGTGTCCCCCTCACAGCTTGCCATTGAAACCAGGTGGCCGATGGTTAGCTTTAATTGCCAGTTTGACACAACAGAGAATTACCGGGAAGAAAAATAGCAACTGTATAGACCAGCTTGGCCTGGGAGTCTGTGGGGATGGGGGGGTGGGGGGAGATCTTGATTGTTATTGATGGAGGGGAAAATTCAGACCACCATGTGCGGCACCATTCCCTAGGCAGGAGGCCCCGAACTGTGTAAAAGTGGAGGAAACAAGTGGACAGGTATGCATGCATTGACTTCTCTCTGCTCTAGACTGTGTGTGTGGCTGGCTGCTTTAAGCTCCTGCAACTGCTCATCCCTGCTGTGAGGGACTGAAACTGTGATGGACTGAAACCTGGGAGCTTAAGCTGAATAAACTCCTTTCTACCCCAAACTGCATTTTGTCAAGACGTTTAATCACATCTTGCAACAGAAATGAAGCAAGCAACTAACAGGTCCCAAGCTCAGCAGCTGCCACCAATGTTAGCCTTCCTGGGTCTGCATCAGTGCATGAGAGTAGCAGCTACCCAGCCCTCTACAGCTGGACACGGCACAGCACAGCACACTTGCTCAGTGCGGCACAGGAAGGAGCGAGCATACGGTATGAGCTGTGGTCACTGTGGTGTCCAAGCCCACCTCTGCTCATTGGTAAAGCAGCAAGCAGGGTGAAAGGTGTAGGGTGACCCAGAGCTGACCTCCCAGCCAGGGTCCCAGGGGACCCTCTTATGCAGCTGCTGACTCAGGAGGGGGGAGGGGACCTTCAAGCCCTAAGAGGAGTCTGCTAACTGCCTCATTTCTTTCTCCCCCCCCACCCCAATTTACAAATGATGCATGGGTGCACAGTCACTTAAAAAATAGCTTATTGATATTTTAATTTAATGCTGGCCAAACCTTGGGCAGCTGACTCAGGGGTTTCTCAGCCGATCCCAGGGATGGTTGGAGAAGTGTGTCCTCTTTGAGGGATCACCCATGAATAATAAAAGAGCATTTAATAAGAGACTCCAGCCTGGAGTCTGCTTGATATTTGCTATTTTTCTGAGCTGGCTGCTGACATTTTATTGACAGAGTCTCGGAGACTCTGACTGTGGGAGGGACCTGTCATGATTTGCCGATGCTTCAGAGGGCAGTGAGTACTTGGCTGGCTTTGGACCCTGAGACTGGGTGTGAGGGGCAGACATTCAGCCTCTGAGCACAGTAGTGAGGGCTGGGAATACATCTGCATCCCTGTCTTGGGGTCTGAAATACATGTTTCACTATGGCTGCTGTTGGGCATCCTGGGCTGGCTATACACCTGTTGATTCTCCTCCACTGCTATCGTTTTGAGAAATCAGCTGCCTGCATGTGCTGGGCTGGGCCCCCAAGAGAGCGACAGAATGACAGGACAAGGGCAGTTTCACGGGTGGGAACACCGTGCCCCGGGTTCACCCACACAGCGCTCACCGGTTTCCATTGAAGGTGGACTTGTACTCCCCAGTCGAGTGCAGGGTCTCATCGGCATACACGGGCATGGACGCCCTGACGCACTCGTGAGAACACTGCAGCGTCTCATTGTAGGCCGTGAAGATGTCCACGCTGCTGGGCACCCGGGCCGGGGTGAAGTCCGTTAGGTTCTGGCAGCTCTCCTCCTGCTGGTTCATCTTCCGCTGGTGGCTGTTCCTCCGAGTGTGCCCACTTGGGGCACAGCTAGGAGAGAGAGAGAGAGGCTTGTGTGGGGGTGGGCAGGTGCTGGAGCAACGTGCAGAGCTCTCCCGCACGTCCACGGCCAAGTCTTCACTCCCAGGCGCCATCTATATTACACAGTAATTCTCAGCCTCTTCAGAAAGATCAACCACAATCAAGTAATCAGCTCTCTCTCTCTCTCTCTCTTTTCAAATATAAAATCTGAATTTTAAATGTGGCCATTATCACAAGAGAGCCTGGAGGTGAGTGGTGAGGCTGAGACCTTGTTGCCTAAAATATGTCAGCTAGACTGAGGGGGCTGACTCAGTTTCCCTCTGATGCCTTAATGGGATGAAGAGGTTGACAGGGCTCTCTGACAGAGGGCCTGGGCCTGTGGGAGGGCCTGGGCAGGGTGGAGGGGGACTCTGGGGATAGCCTGGGATGGAAGGCTGTTGCTGTTGGCTTAACTGCCCCTGGCAGTCACCTCACCCAGAACATACTGGCACACAGTGACTTGTGTTCACCCTTGCCAGGTTCTTACAGATGAATGAGCTCATGCGCGTGGGCTCCGCCTCACTCCCCACTGCTCTGGCTATGGGGGCTCCCAGTGGCCACAGAGGAGGCACCTGGGGCCCCCACTCTCCTCTGGGAAGGAGTTCTCTGGGGTGATATTGAATCAAGGTGTCCTGTCTTCTGTGGGTCTCATTTTACTCTGTTCCCTGAGGCGGGGTGGGGAAGGATGGTGTGGTGCAGGGTGGGGAGGGATGGGGTGGGCAGGTGGGGTGGGGGTGAGGGGGGTCCGATTGCTGCTAAAAGTGATCACGAGGCAGAAGACCCCTCGGCAGAAGATGCTGAGCCCTGATGACCCTCCTCACTCACGCCTGGCCTCTGTCCCAGAGGAAGGGGTGGCCTGTCATGGAAGGGAGTCACAAGTCCTCTCTCCGGTGTGGGTCATACTTCTGCACTGTCCCACATGCATGTGGCCCTGTGAACCCCCACATTCATGTGCACCCACCCCCTGGCCCAGAAACTCTGCAAGAGTGTCTTTACTCTCCTTGTGTCCTGGATCCTCCAGGGATCCACCTGCCTATCAGGTGTTAAGATCAGAAGAACGGGGTTTGTCTTGGGCTGTGTTCTCCTGCTTGCCACCTGCCTTTGGCTCCCCCATTTCTGGGTCTGCCCAGTTGCTGGGACCCCTACTTGTCACTCACATATATCTGGGAATCATGGGGCACACACACTGCTCCACTGGTGAGCTTCGAGGCTCACAAGCAACAGACACCTTTCCCAGCAGCTTCGGGGAGATCTGGGCTTCAGGCGCCGCGGGCAGCGAGGAGCCCCAGCAGTCCCCTCAGTTTCTTGGGTTATGTCAGATGTGCACGCCCAACAAGGCCAGCCTCAAAGCAGGCCGCTGTACAGGAGGGAGCAGGGAAGGAGAACCACCTGCAGCAAGGCCATGACCTAGTTTGGGAGCAGAGAATTGCTGCTCGGAGGGGAGGAGGGGGCCGGCTGGATGAGCTGCCTTGACCTCAGTGGAGGGCAGGGGTCGGGGGTGGGGAGGTGTGAGCATTCTGCTGCTGTTTCTCTGCCTTTAGGAGGTGTGACATGGACTGCAACACACACAGATACGCATGGGCCCCGACAGACCTTAGTGACAGGAGAGCCATATATCCTGGGAAACTGTCCTGAACGCCGGGCTTACCACCTCTTGCACAAGGGTCACTCTGTGGGGCTACACTACAAAGCATGCCCAGCTGAAGCCAGTGGTGGCCAACGTGCCTGTGGCTGTAGTCACCTGGGGCCTCCTGCTCCAATGGGAATGCAACCTGTAGGCTGCCACTGAGCACACGATGGATGTCTTATTTGAAATGGGGTCTTGTGTATCACAAGCCATGTAGCTGGAGATGACCTTGAACACCTGGTCCTCTTGCCCCCACTTCCTGAGTGCTGGAATCGGAGACACAGGCCAACACACTAGGTGTGTGGAGTGCCGGGATGGAAGTCGGGGTTTCACGCAAGCCCGGTGAGCATTATGTCTACGGAGTTAAAGTCCCAGCCTCCAGGCATGGTCTTAAAAAGTTGGGGCTCTCCGTGCAGACCTCCCTTGGCTCCCCCACAGCCCGCCGCTCCCAGGCCTTACCAATTTTTTAAGACAAGAGTTGTGATGAGTGCAGCGATGACCATGATGAGGGAGACGGTGATGGTGATGATCTGATGTACAGCCAGACCTGGAGGGGAGGAGACAGAGGCCAAGGTCAGCACACGGGAGAGGCCAGGACAGGCTGAAGGACGGCGGCGGAGGGATGCTTAGGGGATTGTTTGCAGCGCCGCGGCTGTTCTCACCTGGGTCCAGAAAGGATGCCTCCAGCCCTGAACTCTTCCTTTCTCACTCAGTGCATCAGCAGGGACATGGCCATGGGCAGCTGTGCCCTCTGCCTACAGCTTTTATCTGAATTTGAGTAGCTCTGCCGAGATTCCCAAGCCCCGCCCCCTCCCCCCCCCTATGAATGGACATTGTGCTTCTCCATTCTGGAGATGTGAACATAGGGGAGGGACTAGCCCAGCCCACCTAGGACATCTAGAAGAAGACGGTCCCCCAAATGTAGACTCTCCCTAGTGTTGTCTCCTGTCCCTAGAGCCCTCCCCATCATTCACTACCTGTAAAGTCAGTTCCTACTAGTGAAAGGTCATGGATAGGGTGAGGCTGCTGTCACCTGGCCTTGTAGCCATGTCCCTCTCCCCAGTGAAGAATGACAGTGGACAGGGCTATGGAGTTGACAGAGTGGGGACAGGCAGGCAGGACTACTTCAGCAGCAGGATGGCCAGAGCCTGACAAGCATTTGTTGGTCCTGCAGATGGCCAAGGTCAGGATTTCTCTGTCATCCCCCTCCAGCGCTCTCAACCAGTGCACAGCAAGGCAGAGGGGGAAAAGCAGGTATAGCTCCCATCTCTGGTTCCACCCTAGACCACATTCCCTCTGGACCTCATCGGTCTCAGTGTTCCTGGGACATGGAAACAAAGAGTGTCTCCAGATGACTCTACCGGCCAGCCAGAGTGTTCTGCAAGGTACACAGCCCCAGCTGTTTCCTGATGTTGGCAAATATGGGGCTTGAAAAGAAGACCAAGGCAGCTTGGGGAACCTTCAGGGGAAAGCATCTTCCTCCAAACTGATGTCTTTGGGACGTACAGGCTCTGCCCCCGGCTCTAACACCCACTCTCCAGACTTCAGCTTCTCACATCTGAACCGGGTGTGAGGGCATATGTTCCCGTGTGGCAGACTTCAGCGTTCAGAGGTTGCTGGCAGCATCCCAGAGACTGTCACACACACAGATGTTATTTTCCTGCTAAATGTGATCATCAAGGGAGACCGTTTCATGAATGATTCCAAGTTGGCAGGGCCAGAACACATGTCCTGACCCTCTCTCCCCCATCTTCTGTGGCGAAGTGCCATTTTCATGAAGGATTCCTACCCTGGTCCACAGAAAGAGCATCGCTAAGGAACAGTGGAGCTGTCACAAGAGCGTCACGGCCACCCTCCATTTTTATCTGTGGATTCAAGAGCCACTGGGTGGTGCATTTTCTCTGTGCTGCATGGTGCTGGCAGTGGCCATCTTAACCATCATGGCTGCCTTCAGGGAACAGCAGTTCAATGCCACATGCTTTAAATTTGTAGCCCTCACTGCTCATCTTGGCCTGTGGCTTCCCATACACTTGTGCTCAGTTTGAGGCACTCACTTCAGACCTCTGGGTGAATAGCCTCCTCATCTAAGACCCCTTTTCAGCTCGCCAATAGGGGTTAAAGCCAAGCAGAAGCCACCTTCAATCGCACCAAGAGTCTCTGCTCGCTATGGTCTGAGAATCACCAAAGATCTCTCAGGCAGAGAATGGGGAACCATGGAAAGGGCGTTGCCTGCTCTGTCCTGCCATGCTGGATCCACAAAGTTCCTTAGCATGGTTGGTTGAGAGGTAGCTATGTGATTCTGAAGAAATGTGCCTGTTCATACAGCGAGGAGGAGGAGGAAGCTGATGGTAAAGACAGTGGTGATGGTGATGGTGACGATAACAACCGCAGTGATGGTGTTTATGGTGGCAATATGGTGTTGCTGTTAGTAATTACGGCGATGATGGTTGTGGTGATGGTGATAATGGGGATAAAGGTGATAGATGGTGAAGATGTGGGTGGTGTTGATGATGATGGTGGTGATTTGAGGATGTTGACGGTAGTGGTAATGGGTGATGGTGATGATGATGGCAGTGTTAGTGATGATGGTAGTGATGATGTGATGGTAATGGTGTTGATAATGATGAGAATAATGGTGATGATGATGGTAGTGATGGCAATGTTAGTGACAATGGTGAGATGGTGGTGATGGTGGTGGTGCTGATGGTGGTTATGGTAAGGAGGGCCATGGTTACAAGGACTGCAGTAGTGATGATGTTGATTCTGGTGTCTGTGTGACGATGATGATGGCGGTCCTGATGATGATGACAGTGTGCTGTTGATGATGGTATACACTTAGACTTTGGTGATGGTGAGGACAGCCACAGCTCTCATTGGTGACACTCCAATTCTCTTCATTACCATCACTACCAGCATCATCCTATCAAAACCATCAGCATCATGATCACCATTGCTGCCATTATCACAGTGACCATGTGGTGAGAACAGAGAATGGTGGCTACCATGATGGTGACAGTGATGATTACAGACACAATACGAAGCGGTGTGCTATTCTCCCATGTAGTCCTGGCAACACCTCTTCATGGCAGATTCTACAGTTACTGGCTACAGAAGGGAAAATCACCCAGGGAATGTGTATATTCCTCAGATCATGTAGGACCTGCTGGCTCCAACACCAATTGCACTGCACAGCCCTGGGCACTCTTGGCTAATCTAAGTACTGTGTCTTGATCTGCTTTTTCCCTGCTTCTGTGTCAGAGGCCAGCTCCTCCCCCTTGGAAGTGTGGGAGAAAACAAGCTCATACTCCCACGGACACAGATGCTCACACCCCACCACCTCTTGTCTGGGAAGGCTCCAGGAACACCGCTCCAGGTCAATGCCAAGGACCTTCCAGCCACTTCTTGACACGACACAACCCAATTCCCATGTCAAAAGCTACATCTTTGCTCCTTGTGGTGAATGTGCCACAGTCTAGGTCAAGGCTGGAGAACCCGGTGGCTGGATACATGGTAAGATAGAAAAGAGCAGAAGGCAGAAGTAACTTCAGCAGGGACTGGCTCACTGGGGCCCTCTAGGGGCAAAGAGAATGCCCTCACAGGGGCAACAGACTGCAGCCCACTTCCCATTATCTGCAGGATCAGAGGAGACACAGGGTGCCCATTCAGTTTGACCTCTTCATGTTCCCGAGAGAACCCTTTCACCGAACTACTATTTGCAAACACATGAGATCACAGATGAGAAGAGGCATCTTCCATACTGAACATGAGAATGAACTTAGGGAACTCTAAGCCGGTGAGCATGAAAAGTCACCAAGCCGACTCTCTTGACCAGTGAGAGAAACAGAGGCCCAGAGAGGGAAACGGCTGACTCGGGGACGCTCTTCAGTGATGGCTCTGAACAAAGGATACCAAACTCTGAATGTGGTCCTTGTGAGTCTTTGAACCCCTTCAAGAGGGCTCAAATCATCACCATCTGTGCATCTACCCCACTCATACACACAGCCTTGCCCAGGACCTTACGGCCATCATTTATGAGAAAGAAGTAATGAACGGGGGAAATAGGAACAACGGTGCACTGGGTGTGTCTTTATCCACTTAACCCAAACTAGAGTCACTTGGGATGAGACACCTTAGGTGAGGAACTGCCTCCATTGAAACTGGCCTGTGGGCAAGTCGAGGGTCCGTTTCCTTCATTAATAACCACATTTGGGCAGGAAAACAGACTGAGCAGGCCAGGGGAGTGAGCCAGCAAGCAGTGTTCCTTCACGGCCTCTGCTTGTGTTCCTACCTTGACTTCCTTTCATCATGGGCTGTAGGACATTTCGAAGAAATAAACCCTTTCCTCCCCAAGTTGCTTTTGGTCATGGTGTTTTATCACAGTGATAGAAACACAGAGTCAAGAGCCAACGTCTAGAGCACATTAAAAAAGGTTTTTGTTTTGTTTTTTGGAGAATTTCACACATGAGTTCCTTTTTTACATAACTTCCAACCCCAACTTCCAAATTTCCCCTCAAATTAATGACCTCTTCTAGTTATTATTATTATTGTTGCTATTATTATTATTATTATGTACACATATCAGCAAGCCAGCCTACTGAGCAATTTGTGTGTTTCTCATGTGTACATGTATTTCAGGCTGACCACTTGGGATTGGATAACCTACTGGGGAAGGGGCACTGTCCCTGGAGAAGCCTGACTATCCCTTTGTTAGTGGACATTGATTAGAAGTGTGGCCCTGTGAAATTTTGCCTAATAACTTGCCCTGTTGATGGTGTGTGTGTGTGTGCACGCACGCGCGCACGCCATCACTCAGGTCTTATTTAGGCAGCCATACTGTTGAGATTACATGGGTGAAGCTTCTTTGTCATGTTCAGAAGACACTGTCTAGCTACTGGCCCCCAGCTTCAGAAGTAAGAGCTATGAGAAGAACCTACAGACCCTACAGTTGTGCTAGTTGAACAAAGACTGATCTAAATAATTTTTATGGGAAGCAGTTTGGATTGTGGGACATCTAAAAGAAAGCCCTGCCCTCCCATTGGAAGGTTGTCTACTAAGAAAAGGGCAGAACCACATGGGAAATTATAGGGTGTTTATAGAATCTGTGGTTGGTTTTTGACCTGATCTTCTCCATATGCCAGGAGTGGGTCACTCATTTTCAGATGGAGCTAATGTAGGCAAATCTTTGTACACAAGAGAAAAATAGAGAAATACTTTAGGCTTTGTAGGAAGTGTAGTATGTGTAGTCAACTTATATTGTGTATATTAGTATATCGTTATTTTATTATGTTATAATAGCATTATTAATATTATTGTAATATAATACTAATGTTATATTGGTATATTATTATATACAGTCAGCTTGCATGACTGCAATAAAATCCTGGCAGTAGCTAACTTTTTAAAGAGAGAAGGTTTCTTCAGCTCACAGTTTTGGAGGCTCAAGGACATGGTACCCCAATCAACCTAGTTCTGGTAACAGCTCCATCACACCATGATGGATAGCAATGGTTATGGGTAATATAGTTATAGAGTCAGGGAAAAGAGAGA